CAAATGGGTTGGCAGTGCTGACTGCTCCCATTGGGTCCTTTTTACTAAAAAAGCTCTGCTTGGTGGGCCAAGTAGCTTTCATGCGAGACCAGCGTACCGAAGAGAAGTATTGTTTTATTAAAACCCCTCTCACCCCTCTTGGTGATTTTACGATAACCATATTCAAGGCGCAACTTACTCCTGATGGTTTGTTTTGTTCGAGATCAAAGGAGCCGTTTACGTTTACATCACAGTGACTCAACATTACTATCTGCATGTGCTGAAGCGATTGTCTGAGGCAGTGAGAGAAAGAGACGACCTAACTTGTGACGATCGGAGGCCTAGCTGCTTCATCATGACAACACGTCTGCCCACACGGCGTTCGAATTTTACCAATCTTTGGCGAAAACCACTATGACAACGGTTTAGCATCCCCAAGCGACCTTTCCTTACTCTTAAAAATGCAGGAAAACGTATCGCAGGTATTTAACAGTATTAGTACAGAAGAGTATACAAAATGTGAACAATGGAAAACCTGTTGGGACAAGTGCATATAGTATAGCCAACAGTATTTCAGAGGGCGTTAATGTTTTTATGATGTTATCTTTTATAAAAAAGAGACTTCAGTAAATAATTATCGTTTTTGGATTTCTTCCATATGCCCACCACGGGCAGGTAATTCAGATTTTTTTCCCAGTCCAATTAACGTTTATGTCTGGCAACCGAACGCAGGTCAAATAAACCCAAGTCACTCTTTGGAATATACCATTTCATCACATCTGAGACTGGAAACATAAGGCCATAAGACTCTTGCAAAATGTGCGGTTGTCGCCCGAATATGACTAGACAAATTAAGAACGATGTTACATGGATCACAAGTTAGACCTGCCAGAGCAGTGAACATTTAAAATAGAAACGAATATGCGTGCCCCAGGTTCTTGTTGTAAAGAAGAGGAAGACCGTAGAAAGTCATGTCAGTCCGAAATGATACTGCGGACGCCAGAGCGTTGCCCCCTGAGTTCGGCGAGCATACGTTCACTGCATAGTAAACGCTCTGGTTGTGATAGTACTAATGCATTGTGGCTCTGCATATTTAGCAGTCACGCATATTGACTTAGTTGTCTTGTGTAGTCAACGTTTGCTGGGAGTTTACGTGAGCACTTAGTCACAGCCCCCACGCACCCTGGCAGTCAGTATCATAGAAGGGTGTTGGCCAGAACGTCTCTCCATTCCGTGCAAGATTATTTTATCCAGCGCAGACTCATAAAAGAATCTGGCCAGTCGTCAAACGGCCACAGCAACTTATTCTGCAGTCCGAAATGATATTCCAGATATCGGAATGTGCCCCTCTCCCTGAGTTCGGCGAGCATATCTTTTATCCCCAACCGACTCACTGAGACTTAATTTTTATTTCTGATAGGGCTTCGGACGCCGAGTTGTTTGGTTGTTCCGATAGCGCTTTAGAGAAAAAGTGCAACTAAAGAAAGTTGTTTACAACTGCTGGCATCCACGTTCACAATGGTAGAGGGGTGAACTCAAAGACCAAAGGTTCTCGGTTCGAATCTCAGATGTTTCAATCCTTGAGATTGGATATGACGGCTAACAAGTCACAAGTGGCCATTCCGGTCTCCCTTTTGATTTGCCGGATCTATTCCATCCTATCCCAGTAGTCGCTATGCGGCTGCCTGTACGGGCTTTAATGTGAGCTCCTATGCGAAAAGGGAACCTATGTCCCGTGGTGGCACACATAGGTTGTGCCTGATCCCGCCTCTGGACGTGTTGACTTCAGTTTTCTGAAGCACGCGGTGGATATTGTTGAAACCGCTGATCGGACTGTCGTCAAGTGTACGTTAGACTAGTAAACAACTATGACGCACAGAGGAGGTGAAGTTACGCGTGCCTATAGACTATGTATATTTCCATTATATCTTTTTGGTGTGGTTAAAATCAAGCGGAAACGTCAGGAACATCCGTATGCGAGACATACTGTCTTTATGCCCATTGATTATTCGTCCTTACAAACAACAATGCTTTCTATTTTATCAGTCTCTGTGTTAGACCTTCCGATGATCCTTTTTGTTATTGGGTTATTCACATGCGAATTCCACAAAATAAGATGAGGGTTGCCCTTACCCCCCCTCCCCCCACCCTACTTCCTCGTTCACCATTTCCAAAATATGCTAATGAGGCAATGTTTTTACAATAAATGAAGCCCTGGAAAACTGACGTAACTTCTTTTAATCAATATTAAAACCCTACCTAATTAATTTGTTCTAAGAGAAAACCCATTTCAGAATTTTGGCGGGCATTTCATGAGGTAGGAAGTCTACTGTATTTATTTTTACTTAATCTAATCCTGTTCGGTGTTGTAGTCAGTCGTCACTGCGGAGGGACAGGCCATCCTCACGGATTGGCGCAAGGAGCGCGACCACCTACGCTTCCTGACCAAGGTCTGTTTCAACAAGCACTTTGGCAGCATCTTCCGATCATTCCACAACCCCTCCTACTTCTCCCAGCGATTGGGTCAGTATGCCTCTATGTACACCTCCTCAGTCACCAACCTTCTGGCCCTCCCCCTAAACCACACCTGCTATCCCCGACGGACCCCACTGCCGCACGAGTACCTTTGACTTTTATCCCAGCCCTATTTTAGCTAGTTTTGCATCAAATTCACTTTATATGTTGTCCTGTCTGTCACCTTGTCTGGTTGCAAATGCACTCGTTGTCTCCTTAGTTTGTACAATTGACGCTTCGCTCAGGATGTACGTATAAAACGAGCATTCAACACCAGTATTCCTCGTCTTTCAGTACTGAGGCGCGGAAAATTTTATTTGGATGTACACCAGCCCGTCCTCAGTTGGCCATCTTGCCAGTTCGACTTCTTTCACTATCCTTGTAAGGGATCTCTATGCAGAATTTTAAAATTCCCTTATTATATTCGAATAAAATGAAGTGTATGTTCGCTTTTCCACAATCAATTCCCTGTCCTCCCTCAAAATGTGCATCGTTTCACGAACATCGGTCAACAGTCCGGAAGTACTGCCGGCAAGGATTACTTATACGCGCCCCCGCTACTCCCTCGGGCGGAACCTGGAAACAGGAACATCCCGTTAGAGACAGGTCGGGTCAGGGCACGGACATACTGACTTGTCCTGGAATTTAGCACGAGGTTACCTGGGGCATCCGTATCCCCATGTCCTGTCGGGGGACCATGAAAGCAATTCCGACCTTACTACCGATAAATAGGAAGGGCCCGCGAGGACTGTAGACTGCAGCCCCGACTAGTTGGCCAAGATAGGCCCATTGCTGTTCTGAGGACGCAGCGTAGTCATAAGAGTGAATCCGTTCACACAGTAGGCCAGGCTTCAATAATAACTAACGTGACTTATCTTTTCGAATTCACCCTGTTCTAGCGGCAAGACTGAGTAAAGATAACTGGAAGTAGATGCAAGCCTAGGGACAAACCATGCTACCTTCGGTCAGGTCAGTGCACGCTAATTAGTACTCCTCACTACAACCACCAGAGTACAGCGGGGCCTTCTACGATAGTCGCCTCTAAGTGTCAAATCAATACGATCTGTAACTAAAAAGGGGTCACTCAATCACCCAATTGTGAGGGACGTAGGCGCCCTGCTAAGGGGGACGGGTATTCGATTGGCCACTGCAAGTTATTTTTGAGTCTCACTTATCTACTGGAAGTGAACGGTCTTCTGGGTGTCTTGCAAATCAGCCCAGATGAAACTTCGGATGCGGGTAAGCTCATATTCCCATCTGTTATGCATGTCAGCTATTAATACAATTATAGGAACCTGTTAGTAGAATATACTATCCGCTGGTCTTAGTAAGTATGATTGATAGAATTGGCACTCTTAACAGTGACATATGACATCTAGCAGCAGTATCCTTGCCCAAACCTAGTAAATGTGACACAGCTTCTGGTGGACAGAGGTGAGAGGGCGGAAACCGAGGCATGCCCTGATGTGCCCGGGGTCTCGAAAATATGTACTTACTCGGAATAGTCAGTATTACAAACATTCAGCTATTGAGGAGTTTTAAAAA